ACGCTTGCATGCCACTCAGAGGCAAAGAAAGCGCTGAGGATTTGGGCAAAGGAATCCCAATGAACTCCAAAAGAAAAACTCTGCATTTATCCACATCTGCTGAAGAAAGTAGGTAAGTACAGAGAGTTACAGCCCAAAAGCAATCCACCCTCATGTTCACCCTGTGAAAGAGAATCTGGAAAAGATTAAAAACCACGAAAGGACCTTGGACATGTCCCATCCCTTGTCCTGTGGTTAATGCAGCTTGAGATATCACAGCTGTTGTGCTTTGGAGACAAGTAGATCTCAGGAAAGATGTGGCAACTGAAGTACAACAGAACCTTTCCAATTTGATGGTGTCCCCTGGGTTTAAACCTCTCATGAATCATAAATCAAGCCATTTCTCCTTTTAAGAATTAAAAGGACTGGGGATATACTCATTGCCTTGCATACAGACTGAGATACAAGACATGCAAAAGACAAGGAATGCAAAGGGAAGCCAGCCAGACAGTCTGTAAAGTGTTCATCCTATGCTGTGGGTGAAATGCCAGAACACTGTGTATGGTTGTTCTTTGTGATCCTACAATAGGGTCAAACCATGAATCATCTTGAAGTTTTTGATGAAGTGATCAAATGAACTGGCAATTTACTTGCCTAAGATTTGGTTCTGATATCTGCTGTTTCCATCAAATACTTTGTTTTAAAATGGGAAGACTGATGTTGTGATATGTAAAATAGACAAGAGGAAAAGAAGACCATAGCTTTGGCCATTTGAGGTCTAACCCATGGTAATTTTGAACTTATATAAATCAGATAACTTCTTACTCTAAATGGACTCACCGTCCTTGTGCTTCTGGAGTATGCATCCAGGGCAAAGAGGCTTTACCAGTCTTTGGTGCAGGCTGTCCTCTTACCTATGTGCTTTTCAAAGTGGAGCTAAAACATTAAGTTCTGGAGTGGAGTGGGCAGCAATGCTGGATGACATCAAGTTTTGCAGTTGCTATTGATCAGAGCTCAGAAACATCTGGCACCTCCCTCTCTTTCTTTCCCATCTACGAGATTTTGGAACATACCACCCAACAGAATTAGAAGCAAGGCATTTTCTGATAGGAGAATGTGGAAAAGTTCGAATGTAGCACAACATGCATCTCTGCAATCCTGGAGAAACTGGCACTATCTTAGGAAAAAGTAGAAAGAATCCAAGAGAATGGACAGGGCTGAGGATAAACTTGAGACCTCCTAAGGGAAAGGACCAGACCCTGCTCCAGAGAAACCAGAACTTAGCTGCAAAATCAAAAGGTCAAAGTTGATTAATGAGCTCTATGCTCATGGTATAATTGCCCTCTTGAAACTGTTTTTACCACCAAAGCAGCATTCCACAGTTTTGAGAACACTTTTTTAAAATGACATTGTATACCCTGGGAAAAAGGAATTTTTTTCTCTTAGCTCTAAGATGGCTGAAGACATCAAATTTAAATTCCAGACTTGTACCCACCATAGTCAGCAGAAAACTCTGCCAATACAGACAGCTTATTTGGAAAATATCCACAGGAGCAAAGTCCTGGAGCAAATAATTGTAGACTTTTTGTCCTTGGAATTAAGAGACAAAAACACCTGGGGACATATTGTAGTGACCTTGCTGCATTCAATGCACAAAACAGTCACACCAAGGGCTAGAAAAACATACAGGACTACCATGTGTTACAGGAGAAATAATTTTCCATGTGCAGGATGTTATTCAAATTCACTCAAAGAAAGATGGCTCTTATGAGAGGTATTCATTAAAGCTGGTTTCAAAAATCTAACATCAGTCCCGAAAAGCTCCACAATAAATTGAAGAAACTTAGCTCACTGTGTTGGCTACAATACAACCTAAGCTACCATATGACCAATACCACAATCTATCCTGACTCAGTCATATCACTTATCTATTCCTAGAACAATGCCACATAAATACAGTTACAGAACCTCAGCAGATTGTAATAACAAACACTTATTTTGTACACAAATCAGCACTCCACTTTGGTGGGCCTGCTGCTCAGGGACAGATTCATCTGACCTTGGCTGGTCTCCATTTGGGTCTACATCAGCTGGAAATTCAATAGGGCACTGGTTCGTGTCTTTTGGCATCAAGGTTTAGTTGGGATATTTGCTGCCTAACTCCTGCAGCTCTTAATCCCACAGATCATTTCAGCCTTGTCTTTGTGTAGGAGGCAAGGAACAATGAGAATGAACAGGAACTCTGGGAGCAAAGCTCAGAATGAGCATTTCTTCCTGCTTGCTGTATTTTATTAGCTGAAGTGAATTCCAGGCTGGTACAGATTTCAAGATGAGGAAGACTCCACCTCTTCATAGGAAACACTAACATACACATTGCATGAAGCATGTGTATAAGAAAGGATGAGAAATCCAGGCTATTAGTGCAGTCAGTCTGCCAAACTAGCCTATTGGCATGATAGAATTAGTTCTGGGAGTAAATCAAAAGAACTTGGATTGTAGGCAATGTAGTGTCAGTGTGGGCTGAAGCTTCTAGAATTTTAATGAAGGCTGGAAAATGTGGTCAACTCATTTCTATTTTGTCACCAGAGTTCCAGACACATGGAAGTGAACTGGTCTGAGTCCTAGGACACAACAAGGAAAAATTTGCTCAGCTGCTTTGCTACCATCTAAAAAGCAAGCACTGTTGGCCTCCACCATAAGGAAAGGCACTGCAAACTGCTCAGGATCCCATCTGTCTTCCCCCTAGCCCACATTTTAATGTTAATTTCAATGTCCCACTTCTAGATACTGATCTGGATTGTTTTGAGTATAAGAGAAATCCAGGTCAACCTAAGTCCAAGAAGTGTCAGGTTTTAGGGTTGGCCTCAGACTTGCCTGTATCTAAGGTATAAATGACATTATGAGGACTTTTCCATATCTTGTTTGTTGATACCAGTGATCATTAGTTTTAGATAGCCTATGTTTTAATAATTATTTCTGAGATGAGGTAAGAAAAAACCTTTTTTCCCTAGAATCTTATAGCTGCTATATTGCAGAGAGCTTGATGAGAAGCCAATCTGTTTGATTGGCTGAATTTTGAGTTCAGTCAACATCTTTGACCAATTGCAGTGACCAGAAGGATGGATTGCTCTGTTATCCAGCTCTGAGCCTTATATCTTTGTTTACTTCTGAGGCACAAAGAAGTAGAAGTGGAGGAAAGATCCCTTTCTTAATCACAATGCAAGGTGGTTGTATCATGGGAGTGCTACACTCATCAGTAAATTAAGCCACTGATGAGTTCATAGCAGAATGTGCTATTAGGAGATGGGTCCCAGTTGGAAATGGGTTACTGGGGGCATAATTTGAAAGGGTATATTCTTGCTGTCTGCTTCCTGGCTGCCATGGGATAAGTAGCTTTCTGCTGCCATCCTTTCCACCATGCTGTTTCTGCTTCAAAACCTGCAAACCATGAACTGAACCCACTGGAAACTATAAGCCAAATAAACCTCTCTTCCTTTAAGTTGTGGATGACAGGTATTTTTGTCCCAGTGACAGAAAAATGACTAATATACTCCTCAAGCCTTACAAACAGTCTTACGATTGATTACTCAACTCTAATACAACCTCGAGACCTCCAAACCTGCACCAAGACGTACTGAGGCACAGTGCCGAGCAACTCTTCCTGAACTCAGATAAGTTTAGAAGGATGATTATAGTACCCACATTTTAGCCTGCCTCTGGTCCAAACCCCAAATGCAGCATTGTCCGCACTGAATCAGGTACTGCCCTTTCATACTCATCTGGTTCATACTTTTAATTTATAATTGATTCAGAATGAAGAAAAGAAGAAGATTGAGAAATTAAGTTCTATTTCAGACTCCAAAACCAAAGAGTTGATTTTTTTCATCCTGAAGGTCTTAGGACACAGTATGGGTTGTTCTCATTTTCAAGCAGGTTTAAGGTAGGAAACACTTGTATGTTTTGTAAAGGTGACCGTGGAGGCAAGATGGAACACAGGAAAAGGGGAAAACTAGCACTGAAACCAAAAATTTAGTAAACAAGAGCAATGGGGAAAGGAATGAAGGCTGGAGCTGCCAGAGTTGCAAGGAGTGTGGAGAAGCACTGAGGAACACAAGAGACTATGCAGAAGATGGAAGAGCTCATAACATAGGAAATACAGCAGAAAAAACACATCCTATAAGATAGCACAGAGACTAAACTTTGTAGACTGCAAGAAGATGAAATCCCCTGTTTTCTTTCTGTTGGAGGGAAGCAAGAAGCAGACAGCTGGAATCCTGTCTGAAACAGAAGGAAAGATTTTTAAATCTTTGTTTATTTTTCACTTGAAAGGGATTTGTCCTGAAAACTGTCAAGATGTATGGGTGCTCTTAAGGGATTTTGGCAAGATATATACAAAAGAATGCTTTGGTTAGCTACTCCAATGTAGTCCTCTGGGATCTTAAATGATAGCAGACACTTGGGAGCCTCTAGATCCACTTCAAAAGGTTGGAAAATATGGCTAATTATTTTCTTTCTAAGTTCCCTTTAACTTGAATGAGAGCTTAAGGCTCACTTAACCTTAAGTGATTCTAAAGGACTAAAATAAAAACTATAGAAGCATACAAACCAGAACAATTTATACATATTTTGCATATATAAAAGGTGGAGGAGATGCCTAAGAAAGCTTGTTCTTTCAACATCCTTTCTCATTAGGATGCTTTTAAATACTGGATTACTGTAAATGCTGTACATTTCCTCCTTTGTTACAGTTTCACTTCAGTCACTACATTTTACATAAATGTCGTCTGGACTCTCCAGAAAATGTAGGTTCAGTTCAGCAGTTATAATCCATTCATCATATAGGGTCATGAGTGGAATCAATGAAATTTTTCAGGTTAAGTGCTTAACTTACTTCCAGGCATACAGTAAGTACTCACAGATGGTAGCTATCCCCAGTTACATTTAGCCTTGAGAATACTAGTTTGAACTACAAAAGAGTTTGCAGAAAGATATTGTTTTATTATAAATATATGGCAACCTACCTCTATTTTCATGCCAATCTGTACTCTGTTTTCCATTCCGGTCTGTACTTCTTCCTCCACTGAAGCTTTCCCTGAGCTAAACTGATCAAAAAACAATGCGGAAACTTAGAAGATGATTTTTTTTTTAAACAACAAAAACAGAAAACTTAATGATAATCAAACACTTCCCAAGCATTCGCTGGCTACATCCAAGATAGTTGCTTGCCATTAGCACACTTATACCCCTAGCCCTTTAAGAAAAAGCAAAACTTGTTTCTCATAATTAGTAGGAAGTCCTAAAGTTCTTTCCCAGAACTAGCTTCAAGGTCTTTCCCCAACTTGGCCAGTTATACTTGAATTCAGGGTTTCCACCCTAGAAAGAATGTGGTTATGTCCAAGTGGAATGAGTCAGTGAATTCTAAGCAGAAAAGTTTTCATCTCTTTAAGAGGACCAGTGGAGAGGTTTATTTTTATGGTGAAATAGTGCTTGAATCAGGCCAGAATGAGAGAGCTGTCCCATCTCATTTCCTCTTTTCCATGCCTTGTGACAATGAAAGGGAGGAAGAATTGACAAGAGAGAGAGACTATTTGAACCCTGGAAACAGGCCATTTGGCTGTGTAGGTTTACCAAGTAATCTTGGCCAAGGAAAAAATTTAAAAAAGGTCCCTGTGTAACTTTATGGAACATTAAACCCCTCTGGGGTGCTCATTAAATGCTCATTCATTGTCTGTACAGAGTCCTAAGCTTCATCAAATTATGTTGTTCTACTTGAGGCTGGATGTTCTAGAGACTACATCCCACCTTCAGATTCATTGGGATCTGTCTATAAAATTATGCAATTTTCTTTTAGATTCCTTTTTTTTTTTTTTTTTTTTTTTTGGTTTTTCTCCGGTACCGGGAACCAAACTCATGACCTTGCGCTTGCCAGGCAGGCGCTTTTGCCGCTGAGCTACATCCCCAGCCCCTTCTTTTAGATTCCTAATAGTTTATCACCTCTCCAGCATTAGCCATGTGAAGATGAACTTTTATTGAGTAATTTTTTGAGCAAGTGAGCTTTTCTTAAAGATATTGAAAGGAATAGTTAATGTTTAATTGTTTAATCAATCTTGCATGCCTATATTTGTTTATCTGAGTAATCAATTTGAAGATATCAATATGTAATACAACAACCATTGTTAAATTCCTATCACCTTGTCTGAAATTCTGTATTGCTTGCAGGTGAGAATTTTAGATGAACTTATAAACATGTAAATCACCCAGGCCCTTTTTTGTTAAAAGTCATTGTTAAGGATGGGCTAGTTTAATCTTGTCAATATTCTTCTACATATTACTTCATTTAACCATGACATCTACCTGAGAAAGGTAGAATACATAGTCTTAGTGCTATTTGGTAGACTCTTGTAATAATTACTCATCTACATACTTTGAGAAATACAAAGATGAGTAATGCATAGTCTCTGCTCAATGGTAGTTTTTAATCAAAAAAGAAAGACAAAACAAAAGCACATATAACAACAACACAAAGAGGTCTACAGAATAATTTTGGTTGTTACCCATGTTAATAGAAAAGCATTTAAGGATTCTATGAAAGAAAGTGACATGACTGTAACTTCATTTCAGAAAGCTCACTGCACTAGTAGGATGGAGGCAGGCCAAGAGGAAACAAATGAGGCAAAAAGCAGTAGGAAGCATATTAGTCAGGTTTTGCAAAAATAGATAAATAAGTAAATAAATAACCAAGGAGCTGAGCAGAAGGAAAGAAGGAAGAAAGACAGAGAGAGGAGGCAAGCAAGCCATGAGATTTATTATAAGGAATTTGTGCATATGATTACAGAGGCTGATGAGTCCAGTGATCTGCCATCTGAGAGCTGGGAAAATTGCAGTCTGGGATAGGAAAAGATCAATATCTCAGCACAAGAAGTCAGGCAGAGAATTTAACTTTCCACATTTTTGTTCTACTCAAACCTCAATGGGCTCAATGATTCCCACCTCCCCTGGGGAGGACCATCTGCTGTACTTAGTCTATGCTAATTCTAGATTCATCATCACTGACATACCCAGAAACAATGTTTGACCACTATCTGGGCCTCCTAGAGCCCAGTCAAGCTGACACATAAAATTAACCATCACAGGAGCTATTATAATAATTCACCAAGATAAGAAAGTGGCCTAACCCAAGGAGGGAAATGCAGAGAAGGCATAAAAATATTTTAACTAGGAAAAATGAATAGAACTGGATGATGAGTGACTGATTGGTGAGGAACATTAAGGGCATGTGACAGGGAAATCAAGACCTTTGCCCTTGGTGGCTGGGTGGGAAATCTGTAGGAGAGCACTGCAGAGGTGGAGACTGGCATTTTGCAGGGGCCACAGCAGAAGAGCATGGGAAGTTCTCAATGCTGAAGAACCCCACTCTGACGGAGGGTGGGGTCCGTTCAGTGAGTGCATCATTGCAGGTGTATCTGGGAAAGCAGGCTGAACACCTGAGATGGTAAAGTCTATGTGTCAACTTGTCTGAACTAAGCAATGCCTAGAGAACTGATGGAGCATTGTTGTCTGTCTGAGCAGCACTGTTCAACTGGCTAGGAGCTCAGATGGACCAAAACGGAAGAGGAAGGTCAAATTTGTGTACTTGCTTTCCTGGGCCTGAGCACTTCTTCAGCCCTTAGATGTCAGAATTCCAGGTTTCCCAGGTTTTGGCCTCCAGAATTTGCACCAGCAACCCCTGAGGCTCTCATACTTTTAACATTGGACTGAATTATACCATCAGCTTCTCTGATTATGAGGCTTTCAGACCCGAACTGAGCCACATTAGCAAAGCTTTCAGATGACCTGTTATGGGACTTCTCAGGTGCTACAGTGGTGTGGATTGGTTCCACTAATAAATTCCTCGCATATAACTTTGTCTGCCTGTCTGTCTTATTGAGTCCATCTCTCTGGAACACCATGAATCAAGTTTCATTAGCAATTCAGTAAGCAAAGGACAGACTTTTCAGCAGAAGAACAATGTAACTGAAGCAGTTCTCTTTGAAAATTAACCTGGTCAATGGAAAGACCTACATTCCAAAAAGTTAACTGTTAAGAGATATAGTGGGTGTTGAAGAAGGAACAAAAATACAAGTCTCCAAACTCAAGGTCATATTCATGAAATGAGGAAGATTTTTGCCTGCTTCTTATAATTCTGAATATATACTCCCTTCTTCAAGAATTTTTCCTTCCTTACTAAATTTCACATCCTTCATGTTTAGCTAGGCAGACACTTAGCGTATTAAGAGAACAGATGGGTTCTTCCAGTATTTCTTTTTTTTACTAACACCTGAAGAGCCAAATCCTATATTGTTTCAATTACAACACTCAAAAAAAAAAAAAAATCGGTAATGGTCAAATGCAGACAATGGCAAAGGTCTTGTAAGATAAAGGTAGAAATCTAGTGGAAATAAAAATAAATTAAACTCCTTCTGGGGTATTTTTCCAGAAGAACTAAAAGCATAATACCACAGTGATATATGTGCATCCATGTTTATAGCAACACAATTTATAATAGCTAAATTGTGGAAGCAACCCAAATACCCATCAACTGAGGAGTGGATAAAAAAGATGTGGTATTTTTATATAATGGAATATTACTCAGCTATAAAGAAAAATAAGCATGAGGCTTTTATAGGTAAATGTATGCAACTAGAGATCATACTCATAAGTGAAATAAATCAGACTCACATGTGTAAACATCATACTGTCTCCCTAGTGTAAGAACCTGAAAGAGTACATAAAATCTAAAAGGTACAATAGATATTGTGAAAGGAAAAGATACTGCAAAAGGATAGAACAACTGGGATGAGGGAAAAGAAAAAAAAAGAAAGAAAGAAGGGAAAAATATGTATATAAGTATACACAAGAGAACTAAGATAATTGTACCACTAATTTTTATTGCTTTATTGAAAGGAATAGTAAATGTTTAATTGTTTGATCAATCTTACATGCCTGTATTTGTTTATCTGAATAACCAATTTGAAGATAACAATATGTAATACAACAACCTTTGTTAATTTCCTATCACCTTGTCTGAAATTCTGTATTGTTTTTATTGTTTTTATGTTGTTTTGCTTATGTCTGTGTGTTTGTTGATATGCTTTCATTCTTTTATCTTTAAAATAAAAAAATTTAACTTTTAAAATTAAAGAAATTAAATACCTTAGAAATAATAAATTGCCTTCTAAATACAAATCAGTGTTATTAAGACAATAACACTAAGAGATGCATTTTACTAAAGTTTTACTTTTGACAGGAGTTATTTCAGGCGCTGCTTCATTTTGTCTTCACAAATAATTATTTGATACATGAGAAAATAGAAAGATTAAGTAATGTATTTGATGCCCCATAGTATATGATGGAGTCAGGATTGAAATCCAAATCTAAGTCCAGAGTACCAACCCTTAAGTTGTCTATTATTATGCTCTTTAGAATAGTTTTTCTACAGAAAATTCAAAAAAGACTGCTTAGAAAGAGAACCACAAAGTTTACTATTTTATAAAGGCAATGAACACAGATTTTCTCACGGTTGCACAAGCCATTATAGTAGTTGTCTTTTACTCAGAACTACAGAGAACCTATCGCCTCCAACTACCAATTGCAACTGAATAATTTGAGAGGAATGACAACTTCCTATTACACTGGAAATAAATATTGGAAAATGGGGCAGAATGATCACAGAGTGACTGCCATTAACTTCACTTATTTTAAATAAGTACTTGGATAAGCAAAAATAATCCAAAGCTAAAATAAGCCAAACTCTAATCAGTGCATTACCTTATGCTTTGTGTGATTTGTGTGTTGTGTGCGTGTATCACAGGAAGGGAAGCACTGGAAACCAAAGGGGCGAATTCAACATGAAGCAGTCATATGTCCTGTTAACTTCTGAGCTATTGCTATCAGGATGCAGAATGCTATGGGTTGGCTCTTCCTTTCTATTAAAGTTCTTGGGAATTTTTTTTAAAGCATGCCATTATTTGCTAAAGCAAATTTAATAGAGAAAATCCTATCAAGGCAAAATGGTAGGGCTTTTCAAACAAACATTTTAGTGTAACTACATTAACATCTCTCTTTGTCATGTTTATTTATGATCAGACAATGAATTAAAAATCTGCTTCTTTTATAATCTACCTCAAGAATGACGAAAGTTGATCTTCATGAGAAAGGATTGTCAGAGGAAAACTC